GTGTGTGTGTATGATAATAGAAAAAATAATTATTGATTGCTGAAGGTCTGCGGACTATAAATGTGACGGGGGGGAAGCCGCGGGTTGCTGCCCGCGTTACGACGTGTTTTGAGAAGCCGTGAGATACAGTTTTCGCCACACTTGGCACAATCTGAATCAACACAAGCCACGATCTTCCTTTTTCGAAACGTAATCTCTCTTATCGGAACAAAGGCGAACGTCTGTAAAAAAAAAATGCTCACGGAGGACAATGTCGCGCGGCAACGGAGCGTCAGGCCGAAGTCCGCGTTATATTCGCGGCGAGAGAAGTTAAGGTAGTTATTTCGCGAAATCATTTGCGCGAGCATTGTTACAAATTTGTACAGTTTATTCTTTACATTAATACGTGCAAAACAAGACTAGTTAAATTAAAATTGACCGTCTCAAAGCTCTAAAAAAAAATGTTAAGGTTTGCGACGTTACACGAAATATTACGCGTAAAACACGTTATAAATATTACTTACTACACGTGAAATATTATTTACACGCATTATTATGTGTTAAAATGTTAAAGAACTTCAGAGGATTGCCCGACCATGTCTGGCAAATTTCAATGTTCAAAATCACGACGTTTCGACCATTGTTTGTGGGCCTTCTCAAGTGTTGAAATTGTCAGTAAATCAGTATGGCGAAGTAAAGAAGTCGAGCATGATTTCACGAACGACAGAACATGCCTTAAAATATTAATATTTGCGTTCGCAAATGATGGCACATTTTTTTTAAGCTTACCGGTGAGTGAGATTCGTGTATGAGAAACAAATATATTATAAAGTAAAATAGAACAAATAATTGGACAAACAAAAACAAAATTATCGACCGTTCCGTTTCAACAATATAAACAATTAAGACTGAAAAAATGGAAAGAATTATGTAGTGGACATGAGTGTAGTGTAAGAGACGTGGCAACAGCGCCTCAAACTACAATCCTTCGAGTCTATTTTATACTATGTATTAATCGTAAGTGTATTCTTTAGAACAATATTGCATATCATTGTAATAATTGAGTGCTGGTTCCTGTCTGGAAGAAACTCGAGCCTCACTGTCGCGAAACAACTACCTTAACTGTTGGTTGCTCGCGTCCGAAAAAAAATCACACCAGGAAAGATTGCAGGAGAATTGACCTGTGTGAACTTAACGCCCGACTTCGGCAAAAAACATTTTTATATGCATTCGAACGGGCATCGTTTGCACCCGCTTGGTACCACCCTTTATTTCGTTTGTACCTCAAAGTTACGAAAGGTTGAAAAAGTCGCCAGCACCCCACTTATTTGAAATCGACTTGCGCCATTTGAAAGAGCATTTGAAGAAGAAATTGGTCCTTGAACCGTCAGACAGCCTGTGAATAAAAAAGGGCCTAGGTATCGGTCGTAAAGTGAACGTTTTCTCATGGTGCAAATATTTTAAGACAGCAATACAGCGAGGATTATTTCAAGAGTGAAGTAACCGGAAATGCCTGCAATAAATTGAGAACAATATAAGGACCAAATTTCTAGGGTTTTTGTGGAAGTTGTGAAATTTTTCAGATCAGAGAAATTGGTCCTTGAACCGTCAGAACAGTCTGTGAATAAGAAAGGGCTTAGGTATCGGTCGTGAAGTGAACGTTTTCTCATGGTGCAAATTTTTTAAGATAGCAATACAATGAGGAATATTTCAAGAGTAAAGAAACCGGAAAGGCCTGCAATAATATTGAGAACAATATATGGACCATGAAATTTCTAGGGTTTTTGTGGAAGTTTTGAAATTTTTCAGATCTTTGTTCAAAGACTTAAACTATCGAAAGTAGAAAGAGTATCGTGTCGAGAGAATATTTGCACGTTTGCGCTTTATGTGTTTACCTTTCGGTCTTCACATATATATTTCTACTTTCCCTTCTGTTACTTTAGTCACGAAAATTCTTATTATATCGGGCGGACTACCTGCGGTGTTGAAACAGATTATCTGCAGTAAGAATAAATAGAAGACATTTTATGAGTCATGACTTAACGGAATCGCGCCCGTTTTATGTCAGGACTTAATAAACGCTCTCAAACATTCGATAGATAGGAATTCCAAGTGTCAATAGCCTTAAAGTTTAAGCCGGCCGAATCTTTAACTATGAAAACTCGTCTAATGATTTTTGCCCTTCGTTCTATGGCCACGTAATGGCCGATCGAAAATACTGTGAATATAAAAAACGGTTTTTAACGGTTCGTCGATAATGAAGATAAGATTATGCGTTCATCTATCATTAGGCCCGGACAAAATTAAGGACAATTTTAACTTAGTTTTAATTGATGTACGATAGTTCGGGTAAACACGTCGATGTACGTGAAGACACTTAAAAAAAAAACTATCGCATTTGTAATCTATACAATATGAAAAGAATAATGAAATTCTTAGGACAAAATACTAGAACAGAATATAAAATATATACATGTTCTCTAAAGCGATAGCGCTTTTTGATTTCGTCGTTATCGAAGCTTACATAATATTTTAAGTACACTAAATTATCACCGCCTTCGAACGCTTTCGTGAACCGATACCTGCGATTGTATTAATGGATCGTCAAAGTCTAAAGCCACCGGCACACGACACTATTTTCCCTACTGGATTGCTTGCGAGAGCCAATCAGGATGTAGCTTTAAGTCACCTGATCTAAATCGCTGCATCCTTATTGGTTCTCGTAAGTAATTCAGTAGGAAAAATCGTACCGTGTGCCGTTGGCTTAAGACTGTTCATCCTTATTGGCCCTTGCATAAAGTCCAGTAGGGAAAAATAGTATCGTGTGCCGCTGGCTTTAGCCCTAAGTCACCTTATCTGAAACTCTGCGTCCTGATTAGCTCTCGTAAGCAATCCAGTAGGAAAAATAGTATCGTGTGCCGCTGGCTTTAGTCCTAATGGCCTGAGCAGAATGGCTGTCTTGTACTCTTAAGACGTAAGAACAGTTATTGTGCGTTAAGACTTAGGCCCGGTCTACAATGAGTCGTTAGTCGTTAGTCAGAAGTCGCAACTATAATATATGTTGATCCTTTTCCTTTCTGGGTGGAAGAAAAAGGACCGACATATAGTTCCGACTTCTGACTAACGACTAACAATTCATTGTAGACCGGGCGTAAGACAAAGACTTAAAACATAAAACATTGTCTTAAGGCTGTCTTAAGGCTGTCTTAAGAGTATAAGACAGCCGTTCTGCTCACGCCCCAAGTCACCTGATCTAAAACTCTGCGTCCTGATTGGCTCCCGTAAGCAATCGAGTAGGAAAAAAATAGTATCGTGTACCGTTGGCTCAAGTTGCAAATTTTATTTCACACGTGCTGCACGCGTTACTTACAATTAGCGTTAAGAGAGACAAATGAAAGGACGACTTTTTCTACTTCTGTATCCATTTCTCTCTCGAGAAAACTGGATCGTATACGTGCAACAATTGAACACGGTGGGCTACAATTAGAGATTGTCAATTTTTACAGGTTTACGAGCGCTGCGAATGCCAATGGCAAATGGAGAAACGTTAAACAATCAGATCGATACCTAATGGGTTTTAAGAAGCCTGCGGTTTTTAATAATGTATTAGCCGTACTTACATCTGTATTTACGACCTGTTGAAGCCATTGCTAAATATCACGCGCGGCAAACATTCGCTCCGGTCGACATAAATTCCGGTGTCTTAAAAGTATAGAGCGAGGGGGAAACCGCTGAGGGCATTGTGGTGTACAGATTTGCGGCATTATACTGGGCATTACTAGGGCATTTTTTGGGCATTACGTCTTGCTGAGGCATTCTAAAGATAAAATAAGATAAAATAAGATAAAATAAGATAAAATAAGATAAAAGAAGATAAATAAGACAAAAGAAGATAATAAGATAAGTAATGCCCACTGGGCATTAGTGGGCATTGGTGTACAAGATTTTGGTCAGCGGTTTCCCCCTCGGTATAGAGGCACATCGCGTTGCCTTTCATTTATTCACCTTCCCCATTTATCATTTATTATCTATTATCCAGTTTAACGACCAACACGCGAAGGATGCTCGACACGGAGGACGGTTGTTTTCGAACCGTCGAGGGATAACGAGCCTGCGGTCGTCGAGGAATTAATCGGCGGGCGAGCTAAGTACGAATGACGAAAAGAATCGCGGCGAGAATCAAAGGGCACGTAGGACGACAACGTAACGTCTCTCCCATCGACAGGGGGTGGCTTTACCTGTGCCAGGTGTTTCCACGTCGTCCCAATCTTCGACGATGATGGAGGGGCTCGTACACGCAACGTTCGTCGAATCCTCCCCGGTGCAATCGATTATTTCCGAGCTGTCGTGGATGTAGACGACCGCCTTGGAGTCCTCGCGAACGTAGAGGACTGCTCTCGAGCCCTTGCGCGTGGGTCCCTCGGAGCTGACGATTGTCTTGGACTCTTTGCGGCTGCGGTGGATCGCCTCGGAGTCCCCGTGGCTACAGGTAAGCTCCTTGGTGGCCTCGCGGCCGTTAACGACCGCGACGTTGCCCTCGACCAAGTCGCGCTTAGCTTCATCACGGTCCTGGATAACGACGTCGTCCTTAGCCTCGTCGGAGTCGTTGACGTCAAGGTCATTTATATCCTCGACCAAGCCGGAAGAAAAGGAGGATCCTTGCCTGCTGCCCTCCCAGTGGTCCGAGCGCCTGGCCTCGTTGGCGATCAGAATGCCGGCGGTGTCAACGCTGAGGAGCGCCCCGTAGTGATTGTAATTACTGAATATGACGTCGCTCAGGTCACCGCAGTTTTCCTCGAAATAGCCGCTCTCCTTCTTGGACGGGGTCGAGGCGCTGTCGCTCGCCACGAGGCTCTCCTCCTCCTCCATCGCGGGACGGCGTGCCCGGGGTGCGATGTGTGCCGCGTACGTCACTGCCGTCGCGGCGCGAGCAATGTCAGCGGGAGTGAAGACAAAAAAGAAGCAGGAAGAAAGAGGCAGGGGACGGCAGGCCGGCGATCGACATAAGTCGGATTTTTCGCGTGACAACGGTGCGGCGCTTGTTGCTGCTGCGAGACACGCGGGGACGATAATTCGCGCTTCCGGTTCTCGCCGGCTAATTGACGACGACGACGATTGGCACGGATGATCCCTTCGAGAAGGCACGACAGACAATCAATTGGTCCGCCAATTGGCATTGGTTCTAACGTCGTTTCTTATTCAATTGTCCCCGGTCCTGGCGCGATCACGGACAGTCGATTCCGTGATCATACTGCCTCGAGATAATTATGGGCGGTGTACCACGCGCGCGGGGGATTTACCTGGGCCGAGGGTCGTGGTCGTCCTTTAAACGTAAACCCCGTCGGCCCGCGGTCCGCGCCGTAAAGAAAACGCACACCCAATTGTCCTCGCGGGAGCGCAAACGCCGTGGCTCGTGGATGGTCCAGCGTGAGTTAAACCAAACGTAAACGTCGTCGGTTATCCTACTGACACACTTAGGAGCCACGCAGCGTGCAAGCGTACGACACAACCGCTCGCGGCCGGCCGTTCGCACGATCGTCGACAAACGCCGGCGGGCCTTGACCGGATTCACGAATATCTCGTCCCGTTTTACATCCCCGGGACGCGTTCGTTCGCCGTGGACGTCGACGCCGTCGCCAACTGGAAGTCGCGAGTCAACGCGACGCGTTGCTCCCGCACGCGTATCTCTCGTCAACACCTGCGGCGAAGCGAGCCTCCGCCCGGTGTCCTGTATCCTTACGGAGTTTCGGATACCAACTGCTGGGGTTTCCCGTCCGGCACCGTCTCCGGCCGCGTTTCCAGCCCCCGACGAGGGTGCCGATCGCGGATACGTCGACGCTGGATCGGGGTTCCGGGAGCGAAGGTCCCGAGCGTTCGCGCGGAGAAAACGATTTTCGGAAGCCTCGCGCGAGCCCGGTCCCGGCTTTGAAAAGCTTCACTTTCACCCGGGACGACGGTGTTTCACTTGTCGCGAGGCGGACGAGCAGGTACCCTCGCGAAAAATTGCGGAGTCTCGTTGCTGTTAACCGTTGCCTCTGCTACTTCCGTTTCCACCGGTCGAGTCCTCGGGCAGGCGACGAGGCTGGCCGTAAACGTGCGGCTGTGTAACGAGCGCACGAGGCTGTCCGTTGTGCGTGTGCCACAATACGGAGCAAAGTTGCACGAGACGCGAGAGCCGAGAATCCACACGACACGCTCCCCGCGCAGGGTCGTTGTGGACTGAAGAACCTGACCGACGGACCCTACACGAGCGCTTCTCACCCACCCCACCTCGTCCGCCGCCGACCGCTCCCCCTCCCGCCGCCCGGTCGAGTACTAACAGCTGATTTGGAAAACACCGCGGCCCCCGTCCGCAGGGACGGCTCTAGCGCGACGCCGCGCCCCGAGGTTACATAACGCGACTCTCCGACGCCGATCGAGCGGCACGAAATTTCGAAACAAATGTAACGGTCGTCACGTGCGCGTCGTAGTCGATTGTGCGGTGAAAGAAAAGAAAAATATCAGCGAATCGTTGCACGCCAGCATGCGGAACTCGCGCGTTTCTCACAAGACCCCTTGGCCCCCTGTGCGCTACGCATGTACTTCGCTATGTACTTCTTATGTACCTCGCCTCGTATAATTGATCTCATTGTCGAATGAAAAATACGCCGTTGTACATCGAATACGCGGTAAAAAAAATGATATGTAAAATCGCGTGGACAACAAGTGTATATTTTTATTCGATATATCGCCAGTTAGTTGAATACGTTAGCGAAAGAGAGTACGAGGAAACATTAAAAGAGAAAATCCTTTGTACAAATGATCTTTGATGACGGATCTAATCTTTCAGATAAAACGAAAGATAGTTTAGAATTTAATATCCTTTGATAGGATTCGAGTTCGCGTGGTATTTTTCAAAAGATAGCTGGATCATTTTCACTAATTTTTTTTAAAACAATTTTATTCATAAAAAATATTGAAGAAATGTTAATGCGAAACTAAACACATTTTCAACAAGGAATCTTATTTTCATCGAAATTTTTAAAATTTGGTCGGCTATGAAAATAAGACTCGGAAGTTTTAGGACGTAACTGTATGCGTTTTGAAAGATACCAGTGCGTCCAAATACTGATTGTGAACGCCAGTTTATCTGTAGCATACCTTCACGAGCGGTAGGATAACTTACGGACAGATACGTCCTAAGAAGTCGCCAGTCTTTTTTTATCCGAAGGGTCATATTAAAATTTTCATTGCGACCGGCAGGTCGGATAAGTTTTACTTTTGAAAATCGTATGGAAATAAGATCTTTATTTTAAAATTCTTTTATACTGTAACGCTGAAATTTCTCACCGGGTCCGATAAAACTTTCAGCAGGTCGGATAAGTTTTACTTTTTGAAAATCGTGTGAAAATAAAATCTTTATTTTAAAATTCTGTTACACTGTAACGCTGAAATGTTTTGCCAGGCCGAATAAAAGGAGGCCGGGTCGGGCCCGCAAGGTCATAGATTGGGGACTTCTAGTGTATACGATACATACAAGTTGCCTATTCAAACAAGTGTGCAATAAACTGCTCGTATCTAGACGATTTTGGGAATACTGCCCATGACAAATATTCGAAATAGTTGACTTTTTACAGGAATTTCGCGTCTCATTGCAATTCCGTTTCACATATTAAAACGATCGAATTTGACTGGTCGGACGACAAAATAGAACAGAAAAATATGAGATTTTTGATGCGAGAATTATTAACGTTTGATAACACGACTTTATGATAAGTAAATTAAAGAAACAAAACGTAACGTAAATGTATGTAAAATATTGATACAGATTCTGTTACGTTAACATGGTAAATTCTAGGCCTAATTTTCTCGATAAAGAAAAGCACACATTTCCGGTGGTCGAGATATGAAAGATTGATAAGAGATCTTTAATATTACAATTCTTGTAAGCTGTTTGCAAGGGCACGGAATTATTCAATTCGTCGTTTACAATCGTAAATTTACAAGCTGATAATGCGCTTCGCTTCAGTGTACAAACGCACGAGGCTAAAGTTCATAAAATCATCGTCGTGCTTACACACCTTTGACCTTTCGTAAATATTTCATGGGGCTTCGACGATAATGCGGTGGTAAAGGGAATTTTCCCTTTACAGTTCAACATTCGGTTTGCCCAAGTAATTTCAAAAATTTCCGTGATTACCGTGAACTGTGTTTGACAAATATCGTAATCCCGGATTATTTAAAATTAAATCATATAAAGACCATAAAGAACACCATTGTATTGAACGTCGCGTACGTATAACGTAATTAAAAACTGACTAGTTAAACCGATTAAATTTGAATATTTGTCGGACGACAAAGTCGAAAAGCGCGAGCATTTTATTGCGAGAATTATAATTGTTTGATAACATGATTTTATAACAAATGTAAGACGTACAATATAAAAAATTGTTATGGAGGGCATATAACGTAAATTGTAATAAAAATATTGAATGTTAATAAAAATTGGCCTTTTTTTGCGTCATTATTTACAGCGACGTTCAATCGTTCAATACCAGGCGGCCCGATAAACTATAACGAAAGGTGAATGTTTAAAATTATTTTATACTAGACAGGAATCTCTCGACCATCGCAGGTGCTTGGCGTTTAGACATTTTAGCGTTCAGTGGCGACAAGCGTTAACGGGAGAGTGTAATGAATTACAAAGAGCGTAAACGATTAACCGGAGATTAAATTCGTCAGCCGGCGTCACGCGAATTTACGGCACGAGAGCTTCGACGGCTAAAAGTCGCGATTTAACGGCGTCGCTCGCGGTCGATTGGATAACATTCACGCAGGTTTGTCCCCGGGAAGCCCATCGTCGGCGGAACCGGCTCCGGCGATATCGCGTATCGAAAACCCGGACGGAGACGACGGTGCGGCCGGCTACACGCATTTTTTTCTGCTCTCGGCGAGAACAGGATTCGCGGGTGCGCTCGTAGCCAGGACGACTTAATCGTGTCTTGCGTGATAACGGCCGAGTAAATTATTCCAGCATTCGGTCATCCGCATTTTTCCGCGAGTAGCGAGGAAAATAACAAACGGAATTCTTTACACTGCGTCCCGCGGCCCAAAAATTCGCCCGGCTTATCGAAAGTAACGAATATAACGCGGAAGATTAAACGGGAGTAATATATGCTGTATTAATAAAAAAAACTTACATATTATCAATTAAATTCTAATATTTAAAAAAATATTATATAAGGCTCTAATGTGAAAGCACAAATACGAAGTAATAAAGGAGTAAGAGAGGATGTTAGTGTCCAAATGATTTTACAAATGTTAGAATCCAATAAAAAGATTTATAATAAATGTAGCTTTGTCCCACGAATGATTCTATCCCGGCGTGGGCAAAAGAATTGAACAATAAGCATGAGTATGCCTGGCTATCGTTGTAAATACTGTGGAGGTGCACGTGAAATTGTTCAGAAAATAGAGAATAATTTTAAATAAATATCGAAAGACTGTGGTAAACAACTTTGATCGTCAAGAATGTTTTACAGCAAGTAAAACGTATTAGATTCAGGGAAAATACTGGGGAAAATCAACTTCGGGAAATTCTATTTAACTGCGTTTCATCATCAGCAAACGCTTATCTTGTCTAGCTTCGATCAGTTGCTTTTTAAGTTTCCGAATATGGAGTCAGGATTCCCAGAAGCGACGAATACCGCGAATCACTCCGTGACTCCGCGACTTCTTTCATCTCCTTGTCTGCAAAGCCTCGCAATTGTCAAACAATTGTGAATAATAAGTGGGTGCCACACTGGCTCCGCGTGGCACCCACGTAACATTTAAAATTAAATGTCATGGCGTGTAAAAAAGAAAAAGTCCGAAGAAAGATCTAGGAGGGCGAGAGCGCGGGGCGGGACGGCGAGAGAGGAGCAACGCGGAATGTTCCTCAACGAGTTCGTGTGCATTTTAACAGGTGGCGGCACGTCGTTGCAAAAATAATCGGCCGCGACGGTTGAAAACCGTCGACACGCTGGGACCTTTAAGCCTCCGCTACAATGATTCTCGGTTCTGTCTACAATGGTCGCAGTCTTAGAATCGTAGAGTCACGGATTGGGTCGTATCGATGTATAACTGAAACCGATTTTCCGTTTTTGAGGTATTTTCCCACGATATATTCGACATATAATGACACACGACGTATATCACTATTCTCTGATTGGTCCGTCGAGGCAATAAACGCAGTCGTGGTTGTTGGAATAGGAATTGAACCTATTCGAGCGACTACGACTACGACTGCTCAAGCGACCATCGATACAACTGTACGACCATTGTAGACAGAACCGAGAATCATTGTAGCGGAGGCTTTAATCGTTGGCGTCGGCCCACGATGTAATGTTGCACTGCGCTACGATCGCAGACTCAAGCCAACGACACACGATACTATTTTTCCCGCCCACTGGATTGTTTGCGAGAGCCAATCGGGATCTGGTTTTAAAGCCAACGGCACGCGATACTATTTTCCCTACTAAATTGCTTACGAAAGCCAATCAGGATTCAGCTTTGAGTCACCTGATCGAAAACTCTGCATCTCGATTGGCTCTCGTAAGCAATCCAGTAGGAAAAATAGTATCGTGTGCCGTTGGCTTTAATACACACTACCATAGTGTAACTAGTATGCCCACTCTGCCATTTGTTTTGTTTTGCGACGATCCTTTCTGCGCATCCGCCATTTTTTTGGCGGAGCCAATGAGACGGACGTTGTGTACGCGGTAGTGTGAAATCAGTGTGACAGGGGCCCGATTCTTGAATTCATTCGAAGGAGAAACGTATGCGAAAATTCTGCTCTTACAGAAAAGTTGAAAGTCGATTGGTTAAAGCCATGCGAATAGCCAATCGACTTGCAACTTTTCTGTAAGAGCAGAATTCTCGCATACGTTGCTCCTTCGAATAAATTCAAGAATCGAGCCCCAGGACTTTATACCAAAAACATGGCGGAATATCGCGTGATCGAAACCGAAAAGATCAAAGGGGCCGGCAGAGAGTGGACCCGCTAGTTACACTATGCTGCTACCTTCGAGCCGAAAAGCGAGGCAAGAGTTCCGCCATGTCTTGTTAGGTAAATAAAGTAGTACGTGTGCATCGGCGTGCTACTGACAGACATGGCGGAACTCTTGCCTCACTTTGCAGCTCCAACGTAGCAGTTAGTGGAGAAGAGTCCCCTATTATGAGACAGGATCCTAATAC